TCTCAGAGCTCTGCTCACTGAGCTCTGCAATGTGTAATTTCAGCTCTCCTTTTCAGATCTTTTTTTCTGAACTTTCTGACAAGCTTTAAAAAGTTAGCAGTTTAAACAGATATAGAGAAGAGGAGACTGGAGATATACAGGTGCAACTTATTTAGGAGGATTTGTCTTATCTCTGTGTATCACCACAGGCCAGTCGCTTCACTGGGTAGATAGGGTTTACAACCATTTTAAGGGTTGTATGATCTGCCTCATATAGTAATAGTAGGCTACTCATTTGACAATGTAGACATATCCAAGAGTCCCATGTGTATATACAGTACATAAGGTGAAAATCAAAGGAGGGGCAGTGCCTGTGTCTAAAGGAATGTAATTTACTACAACAATCCTTATATAGTTGGAATGTTTTTTGAAGGTTCAGGAAAGCCAACGCATTTTGTAGATCTTTGTTTCCTTTGTCAGAACTGAAATAAGTAGATAATATTACACTATATTGCCAAAAGTATTGGGACGCCTGCCTTTACACGCACATGAACTTTAATGGCATCCCAGTCTTAGTCTGTAGGGTTCAATACTGAGTTGGCCCACCCTTTGCAGCTATAAAAGCTTCAACTCTTCTGGGAAGGCTGTCCACAAGGTTTAGGAGTGTGTCTATGTTAGGAATGGACTGGCCAGCAATGGTGGGACTCACCTGCCTTTTGATCTGCAGTACCAGGGCTGGCCAGCGGGTGCTCCCAGCAATCCTGTTTCTGTCCCTCTGCCTGACCCTCTGTACTACGCTGCTCTGGCTTGTGACCCTGACCATCCCTCTGCCTGACCCTCTGTACTACGCTGCTTGTTACCTGTTTTGATCTCTGGCTTGTGACCCTGACCATCCCTCTGCCTGACCCTCTGTACTACGCTGCTTGCTACCTGCTGAACCTGGCCTGTGACCCCGACCATTCTCTGCTTGCTCCCCCTGTACCTACCTGCCCAATTGATATTGACCCGGCCTGCCTGACGACGCTTGCTTGTATGTACTGTTATCTGTGGGTGGTTTGGTTTGGTTTGTTTGCACTGTATTATGTTTAGTATTGCACTGCGTTTATGTTTGTATGGTTAGTGTTAATAAATTGTATTGTTTATCACATATCTGAAGTCTGCGTTTCCCTGCATCAGTCACACACCTCTGGTCATACCTGGGAGCCCTGACATTACACCAAGGCCAATCCTGACCAGAAGTGGCTGCACAGGGAAGCCATCTTGGCTTGTTGATGGGAAGGATGGATCTTGATGAGGTTGAATATTTATATCTGCTAGTGTTTGATGACAGGGAGTATGCTTATCAAACTCTGAAGGAGTATACCCGGGATGAACTGCTAGAATGTATACGGCTCGCTCATGTTCTAGTAGATCAGGGCACAGAGTTCTCTGAGGTGCAGCCTTTGATTGAGGTTTGTGCTGAGTTGGTTTCATCTGGTTCCCCCGAATGCAGGGATGAATTTTTGCCACCATTTAGTGCAGACCAGGTAGAGTCCCTGGTGTGGTTATTAGAGGATGATGTGGGTTACTTTCTGGAGCGTTATTCCACATGTTCACCACAGACACTAGAGATTGTATAAACGCAGTGCAGTCATTGACCAGACAGGCTTTGTGTAAGCTCAGCTTTGTTCAACCCATACTGCAGACATGGACAGATTTGTTGCACCCAGCCTCAGTCAGCTTACAAAGACCCAGTCCTGCTTCTAATCTATTTCCTCAAAACTCTATTCCTGCATTCCCAACAGCTCCTCCTGCCCTGCTATCTACCGCATGTCAGTACCCTGTTCCCACTCGCTGCACCTATCCTGCCTTTAACCCTGTAAAAAGAGCCCTCTGTAGCAACTGCTCCCTCTCCTGTTCCATCCTCCAGTTCTTCTCTGTCTCCAGCTGCTCCATTCGTTTGCAGACCTGCGTTTACTTGCAGTGCTCCAGTAGTTAAAACCAGAAAAAAGCGAAAATTCTTTCCAACCAATACCATCCTGCCAGTATCCAAACCGGTGAGCCTGCCTTCCGTGGTTCAGCCTGAAGCCTCTACTCAGCCTGAAGCCTCTACTCAGCCTGATGCCTCTACTCAGCCTGATGCCTCTACTCAGCCTGATGCCTCTACTCAGCCTGAAGCCTCTACTCAGCCTGATGCCTCTACTCAGCCTGATGCCTCTCTCAGCCTGATGCCTCTACTCAGCCTGATGCCTCTACTCAGCCTGATGCCTCTACTCAGCCTGATGCCTCTACTCAGCCTGAAGCCTCTACTCGGCCTGATGCCTCTACTCGCCTGATGCCTCTACTCGGCCTGATGCCTCTACTCGGCCTGATGCCTCTACTCGGCCTGATGCCTGATGCTACTCGGATGCCTCTACTCGGCCTGAAGCCTCTACTCGGCCTGATGCCTCTACTCGGCCTGAAGCCTCTACTCGGCCTGAAGCCTCTACTCGGCCTGATGCCTCTACTCGGCCTGAAGCCTGTACTCGGCCTGATGCCTCTACTCGGCCTGATGCCTCTACTCGGCCTGAAGCCTCTACTCGGCCTGAAGCCTCTACTCGGCCTGATGCCTCTACTCGGCCTGAAGCCTCTACTCGGCCTGACCCTCTACTCGGCCTGAAGCCTCGGATGCCCTCAGCCGGACGCTACCTGACCGGATGCCTCAGCTGTCGCCATGATGCCTACTACCCAGATGATGAACCTGATGCCTCTCCCAGCATGTGAACTGACCTGATGACCTATTAGGCCAGGTGACCCGATGCCCGCTGTCTGATCCAGATGATCCGGTACCTGACCCCGTGCCACTGTCGTGCCTGTTGACTCGGAGCCCACTGCCTTGCCAGATGACGCGGTGCCCGCTGTCGAGCCAAATGACCTGATGCCTGGTGACCCGATGCCCGCTGTCCAGCCAGACGATCCAATGTCTGACCCAGTGCCAGCGGTCATACCCAGTTGACTCGGAGCCCACTGCCTTGCCAGATGACCTGGTGCCCGCTGAGACCAAATGACCGCCTGGGCCTGGTCCGACCCGCCGCTGTCCAGCGCCCAATGAGGGTGCCCGAGACCTGTCGCTCCACCTGGGGGTCCGGCGCCCGCCGCTCCGCCTGAGGGCCCGAGACCTGTCGCTCCACCTGGGGGTCCGGCGCCCGCCGCTCCGCCTGAGGGCCCGAGACCTGTCGACCCTGTCCCGCTCCTCCTGGGGCCCGAGACCTGTCGCTCCGCCTGGGGGTCCGGCGCCCGCCGCTCCCCCTGAGGGCCCGAGACCTGTCGCTCCTCCTGGGGGTCCGGCGCCCGCCGCTCCGCCTGAGGGCCCGAGACCTGTCGCTCCCTGGGGGTCCGGCGCCCGCCGCTCCGCCTGAGGGCCCGAGACCTGTCGCTCCATCCTGGGGGTCCGGCGCCCGCCGCTCCGCCTGAGGGCCCGAGACCTGTCGCTCCGCCTGGGGGTCCGGCGCCCGCCGCTCCGCCTGGGGGCACGATGCCTGTCGCCCCGCCTGGGGGCCGATGCCCGCCGCGCCCCGCCTGGGGGCACGATGCCTGTCGCCCCGCCTGGGGGGCACGATGCCTGTCCTGGGGGCGCCCCCGCCTGGGGGCCGATGCCTGTCGCCCCGCCTGGGGGCCCGATGCCTGCCGCCCCGCCTGGGGGCCCGATGCCCTGCCCCCGCCTGGGGGCCCGATGCCTGCTGCTCCGCCCGGGGGCCCGATGCCTGCTCGCCCCGCCCGGGGGCCCGGTGCCTGCTCGCCCCGCCCGGGGGCCCGGTGCCTGCTGCCCCCGCCCGGGGGGCCCGGTGCCTGCTGCTGCCCGCCCGGGGCCCGGGGCCCCCCCGCCCGGGGGCCCGGTGCCCGCTGCTGCTCCGCCCGGGGGCCGGTGCCTGCTGCCCGCCCGGGGGCCCGGTGCCCGGCTGCCCCGCCCGGGGGCCCGATGCCTGCCGCCCCCCGCCCGGGGGCCCGGTGCCTGCCGCCCCCGCCCGGGGGCCCGGTGCCTGCTGCCCCGCCCGGGGGCCCGGTGCCTGCTGCCCCGCCCGGGGGCCCGGTGCCTGCCGCTCCGCCCGGGGGCCCGGTGCCTGCTGCTCCGCCCGGGGGCCCGGTGCCTGCTGCTCCCCCCCCGGGGGCCCGGTGCCTGCTGCTCCCGCCCGGGGGCCGGGGCCCGGTGCCCCGCTGCTGCTCCGCCCGGGGCCCGGTGCCTGCCTGCTGCTCCGCCCGGGGGCCCGGTGCCTGCTGCTCCGCCGCCCGGGGCCCGGGTGCCTGCTGCTCTCGCCTGGTAATCCGATGTGCCTCTGCCCGGAGTCCTGCCCGATGTGCCTCTGCCCGGAGTCCTGCCCGATGTGCCTCTGCCCGGAGTCCTGCCCGATGTGCCTCTGCCCGGAGTCCCTGAGCCCGATGTGCCGATGTGCCTCTGCCCGGAGTCCTGCCCGATGTGCCTCTGCCCGGAGTCCTGCCCGATGTGCCTCTGCCCGATGTGCCTCTGCCCGGAGTGCCTCTGCCCGATGTGCCTCTGCCCGATGTGCCTCTGCCCGGTGTGCCTCTGCCCGGTGTGTCTGCCCGCCTCTGCCCGATGTGCCTCTGCCCGGAGTCCTCTGCCCGATGTGCCTCTGCCCGATGTGCCTCTGCCCGGATGTGCCTCTGCCCGGTGTGCCTCTGCCGGTGTGCCTCTGCCCGGAGTCCAGCCCGGTGTGCCTCTGCCCGGAGTCCAGCCCGGTGTGCCGCTGCCCGGAGTCCTGCCCGGTGTGCCAGTCTTTGATATCCCGCCAGTTACCAGACCCGGGCGGTGGAACATTTTGCCCAGCTAGGACTGTTTGGAGCGTCCTGAGGCCGCTCCTTGGGGGGGGGGGGTACTGTTAGGAATGGACTGGCCAGCAATGGTGGGACTCACCTGCCTTTTGATCTGCAGTACCAGGGCTGGCCAGCGGGTGCTCCCAGCAATCAGAGACTCAACCTTTCAGCCAGCTAACACCTGGAACTGATGATGCTGGGGTATTTAAGGGATGGCCAGACCCACAGACTCTGCCTTGGTGTTGTGTTTGTCCTGGGCCCTGTGTATCTGTCCTGCATCCTGTTTCTGTCCCTCTGCCTGACCCTCTGTACTACGCTGCTTGTTACCTGTTTTGATCTCTGGCTTGTGACCCTGACCATCCCTCTGCCTGACCCTCTGTACTACGCTGCTTGCTACCTGCTGAACCTGGCCTGTGACCCCGACCATTCTCTGCTTGCTCCCCCTGTACCTACCTGCCCAATTGATATTGACCCGGCCTGCCTGACGACGCTTGCTTGTATGTACTGTTATCTGTGGGTGGTTTGGTTTGGTTTGTGTTCTGTATTATGTTTAGTATTGCACTGCGTTTATGTTTGTATGGTTAGTGTTAATAAATTGTATTGTTTATCACATATCTGAAGTCTGCGTTTCCCTGCATCAGTCACCCCCCCCTCCACCAAACTTTACACTTGACACAACGCAGTCAGTCAAGTACCGTTTCTCCTTGCAACTGCCAAATCCAGACATGTCCATCGGATTGCCAGACAGAGAAGCGTGATTGGCCACTCCAGAGAACACATCTTCCTTGCTCTAGAGTCCAGTGGCGGAGTGCATTACACCACTACATCAGACGCTTTGCATTGCACTTGGTGATGTAAGGCTTGGATACAGCTGCTCAGCCATTAAAACCCAATCCATGAAGCTCTCTATGCCCTATTGTTGTGCTAATCTGAAGGCCACATGAAATGTGGAGGGCTTTAGCTATTGACTCTGCAGACAGTTGACAACTTCTGCGCGCACTGTGCGCTTCAGCATGTGCTGACCCCACTCTTTACGTGGCCTACCTCTTTGTGGCTGAGTTGCTGTTGTTCCCAGTTGCTTCCATTTTGTTATAATACCACTAACAGTTGGAATATTTAGTTAGCAAGGAAATTTCACGGATGGATTTATTGCAGAGGTGGCAACCTATCATGGTACCATGCTTGAATTCACTGAGCACCTGAGAGAAACTTATTCAGGCCATAGATGGGTCGAAAATAGTGGCCCGATTTTTCTTTTAAAAAAATGAAAATCGGTCGTTCAAAGTGGCCGACGTTACCACCAATAGTAAAAAAAATCGGCCAATTTTCATCCCGTCTACAGCCGGCAAAAAGTGTCCCTGCAGAGAGCTCTGCTATTTCTTTGACAGTTCCTTGACATTTACAGAGGTTGCAACAATGTATCTATTTGTATCCATTTAGGATACAGATGTTTTTATTCGGAAACAAATAGATACAATGTTGCAACCTCTGTAAATGTCAAGGAACTGTCAAAGAACTGTCAAAGAAATAGCGGAGCTCTCTGCAGAGACACTTTTTGCCGGACTGGAATTCCTCTTTCATTCCATTTCATCCTTCTTCTTCTCCTTCTTCATCATCATCCTCTTCTTCTTCTTCATCATCATCCTCTTCTTCTTCTTCTTCTTCATTCTACTTCTTCATCATCATCATCCTCTTCTTCTTCTACTTCTTCTTCATCGTCATCCTCTTCTTCTACTTCATCATCATCCTCTTCTTCTTTCTACTTCTTTTGCTTATACTTCATCATCATCATTCTCTTCTTCTTTTCTTCATCATCATCATTTCATCATCATCATCCTCTTCCATTCTTCTTCATCATTCATCCTCTTCTTCCTTCATTCTTCTCTACTTCTTACATCCTCATCATTCCTCTTCTTCTTCTTCATTCTTTCACTTCTTCCTTCCTCATCATCCTCTTCTTCATCTTACTTCTTTTACTTCTTCTTCATCATTCATCACTCTTCTTCATCTTCTTCTACTTCTTCATTCATTCATCTTTCTTCTCATTCTTTTCTTCTATCTACTTCTTCATTCATCCTCTTCTTCTTTTTCTTCATCATCATCATTCCTCGTCTTTCTCTTCCTCTTCTTCTTTTTGTCCTTCATCTTGCAGGTCACTGGCTCAATGCTCAGATTTTTTATCGGTAAAAAATCGGCCGATTAGCCACATTATTGCCGGACGAAAATCGGCCGATTGGCCAATTTTTTTCCAAACTTTCCCGATTAAAAAAAACGGCCAAAATACCGAAAAACGGCAGAACAAAATAGATTTTATTTTGTTTTTTTTTTTTTTATTTTGCCCTATTAACGATCCGAATAATCTGAGCGCGATATTATGTTCATGGCTGAAATATAGGCTAAGTTGAGTTCGACCCATCTATGGCCTGTGAATTATATCTTTCACGCAAACATGTTTGCTTAGATGCTAAGTCTGCTTATGCATAGGTGGTTGATTATATTACCACCTGAGGCCAATGGAGGTGATTGGAACACCTGAATCCAATGACTTTTGGAGAGGTGTTACCAATACTTTTTACTATTTTGTGTATATGTTATATGTGTTGTTGAATAGATATTTTTTCTAATATAATTTTTGGCTATATTGTTTGTATATTTTTTAATATACACTTGTCACACAATTATATTA